TCTTAACCTCAAAGTAAGTCAGTTATTGATCAATGACTCAGATAGGTGGGATGAACATCAATTGAATGATCTTTTTTATGATCATGATATCTCTATCATCAAAAAGATCAAACCGGTGATTTCCTCTCAAGATTTTCAGCTATGGAATCATACACGTTCGGGTGAATATACTGTAAGGTCGGGCTACTGGTTTGCAGAAAAGGACGCTAAGAAGGAGGCATTCATTAGTGGTAATGTGCAACCTTCTCTTAATGGCCTAAAAGATATCATCTGGTTCACTCCTACCGAACCTAAGATTAGAATTTTCCTATGGAAAGCTGTTAGTGGAGCCTTATCAGTGGCTGGCAGTCTCATTGATAGGGGAATGAAAATTGATGCAAGATGCCAATTATGTGGTCTTGAAGGTGAGTCAATCAATCATGTATTGTTCACCTGTTCGGCAGCAAGACGGTCTTGGGCAGACAGCGGCTTCCCTCATCCTTTACCTGGATTTGATCCTAACTCTGTCTATTCCAACATAGCATATGTTTTACAGACAGGGAAGGATCAAAGATTTCCAGACAACCTTAGGCGAACTGGACCATGGATTATTTGGTCCATTTGGAAGAACCGTAACTCTTTCCTATTCCATAAAATTTTTCACAAGGGTCACAGTTTCATCAACAACATCTTCGAGGAGGCAGGTCATTGGTTCCAAGTTAAATTGCTTGATCTTAAAGAGAAATCTATTGACTTGGAAAGAAAGAAAAATATGTTGTTTGGTTGGAAACCCCCTCCACCCCTTTGGCTGAAATGTGAGATAGGTACTTCATGAGATAAAATTAAGAATCAGAGTGGTGCTGCTTGGAGTCTACGTGATCAACATGGTCACGTCCTTCTCCATAGTAGGCAATCATTCACTGGTATTTATACTAAGATTGATGCATCTTTTGAAAGTTGGAAATGGGCTATTGATTGTTTAAAAACAATCAATTACGATTCCATCTTATTTGTGGGAGAAGACTCAGATCTTATCAACGTTCTCAAGAAGCCATCTTCTTGGCCATCTCTCAAGTATTTTTCTTCCCAACTACTGCCTATGCTTCAAAGATTTCATGCTTGGAAAATTGATTTCCACTCTCCGACGGATATCAAAGGAACAAAGCTCATTGCGGAAAGTGTCACCAAGCAAAATCGTTTCCAATCTTACATTTCTAGAGGCTCTCCTTCTTGGTTATCTCATTTGTATCCACTCTCACATCCATAACTTATGGATTCTCCATTGTATTAATCTTTTGTTATATATATATATATATTAGTGTGAAAAAAACAATGTAAAATTAAATTTCAAATAAAACATATAATTATTAAGGTCCATTTATTTAAGTTAAGAATATGGCTTGTTTAGTATCATTATCTAAAATACTTTGCTTAAGTATTACATTTTGAGACATGTTTTAATTAAACGATTGCTTAGCTAATTTATAATTGATTATACATTAGAGTAAATTAATATTAATTTACATTGGTATATTTTTATTATATATATATTTTTTAAAATATCTATCTACTTGTATCAAATTAAGATAAAGGTTTTGTGTAAAGTATTTAACAGTTTTTTTTACTGTATATATGTTTTAAAAACACAGTATGAGTAGATATCTTGAAATAAAACCATAAATGACATTTTATTTGAAATTTGATTAAATGAAAATTCTTTTTATCAATCAAACGCAAAACATTGTTGTTGAAAAGAACCCCAACACGTAAACAGTTTGAATATATTAGAGAAATTCGGTTGTTCAAAAAAAAAAATTCTATTAAATTCATTAGGAGAAAACCAAAGTGGTGAGGAGACGAAACAATTTTGTGGAACTGTTTTTTCCAACGACAATTTTGAAAAACCGTGTCATACTCCATCGATGCTAGATGATATTTACTGTTCACTGATCTTCTTGGTAAAATGTATGTGTATGTTGTTGCTAACAAAATTCATCAATAAGATTCACGGGTTTGTTCTGTTTTCTTAGTAGAAAGGCCAGTCGGAATGAGATGAATCAATTAGAACACTATCTTATGTAAGCTTGAATATCCAATGAATTTGCAAGATATCCAAGTAAGAACACAATTCTCCTCTTTTCAAAAAAAAAAAAAACATAATTCTCCTGCGGGCCGAACCAAATCAGTCCAGTCACAAAAAAAAAAAAAAACCTTAGCAAAAAGATAAGAGATAGACATCAAATATTACAAATTTATTTCTTGCCAAGAAAATTATCATTTGTGTAGGACTGTTAAGTCACTGGATGCACTCATGTATTGACATGTATGCACGGTAAGATCAATTGAAGTTAGGAGGAAGAAATAAACATATAAACGTCAATATTAAAGAGATTAAAGTACTATACTGGATTAAGAAGACCAGTGTTTCATCATCAGTGATAGTGTTTTAAGCACAGAAATCTTTGAACCTCTGACACACTTAAGAGATCATTGAAGAGTAGAATTCTACCAATGTGCTCTACTGTGTTGAATCCAATGTTGGAACACTGTAACAAAGAGTATAAGAGAGAGTATGTACAGTATACGCATACGTATTTCATATATATATATTCCAGTCAGAACTCAGAATCATGAATAAATCAATCAGCGTACTATAAGCTTTGATATTTATTTTTTCAAAAACTAATATGTACTTATAAGGTGAAAAAATCACGAGACTAAACCTAAGCAAATGTCTAGATCCCAACTTGGATTCTCGCAAGAATAATCTTTTATAATCTCGAGCAAGTGGCCTCTTAGTTATACACCAATAGACAACAAAGAAACGCAATTAAGTTAGTAATAGAAAAAGAAAATAAAAACATTGTAGTGAAATCTACCTGTAGTCACATAAATAAAACTAATAGAAGAGGTGGTCGTTTTCATTTATTTATTTTTAAAGAAAAAAATGTCGTGATATAACAACAAAGAATGGCTTCACATCTTTACTATAATGCGCTCATTCTAACTGAATAGTTAATACAAACATGATGCTGGATTGGCTTACTTTTTCTTTGGAGCTTCTGATACGAAGATTGCAGAACTTTCTTACTATCAGTGATGTTGATATGTACCTGGTGTTCTCCTATTCAAGTTAGTTAAACAGATATGAGAAACAAAGTACGGAGGCTTTATTCTGTATTCTTAAAGTGTACTAAGCACACTATTCAATCACAGAACATAAGTCTTGCAAAGAAAAGCAATGCAAATTTACCTTAAAACTCAAGAGTTTGGGTTCTATTTTTATGTTTAGCAGCTCCAGCTTGCATTTACATAGCAACTCTCACTCTATTGGGTAGCAAAGTAACATTCTTTCCGTTCTTGCCGTATTCCAGATTCTTCCATAAACCCTCCAAGAAGATTGAAGACACTGACAACAAACTCACGCTTCAGCATCACCTGGAGAACACCTACCGCAAAATCGCTTGTGTTGTAATTGCAGAAGACATTCAAGCAACTCACTCAGACAAATGAAGTTGATGAACGTTTTAGTGGCGAGTTGGCGATCATATTGATGTAAACAGAGAACGCCGACGGTAAGCACATAAACCTGAAATTCATCAAAGACGATGAAAATTGACAGCAAGAGGCTAAAATCAATTCACAGCAAACTCGCTTAACTCCATCCTGTGTAAAGTTGAGCTCTACTGTCCAACGTTTTTGAGCAACCAGAATAAGATTAAGGTTAATTAATTAAGCGAGTGTGCAATGTGATTGAAACCCTTTGTGCTAATTTCTCAATCCAATTTCAAAACACAACACACCAATACCAACCTAAATGACACGGTCTACCAGGCTACCACAATATTCCCAACCTCAGGCTTGTACCTAACGCATATGACCAAACCAATCAATTCTAGTGAATCTCAGAGTAGAGAGTTGATTTTAGTTCACAGATGTATCCAAGAGAGACATTAATGAACAAACACCTGGCGCGTAATGTATGTATATACACAAAATCACAGGACTTCAAAATTAAATTTATAACGATGTGGTGAAAGGGTGAGACTTACATCAGTGCTTTTAATGGTTACCCTGACAGGCTCTCTCATCTAGCCTTCAATTGAAGTTTAGGAGGGTAGTATAATCCTAGGTAGAAGAGATGGTGTTATGTTTGGGGGGGGGGGGGATTTGAGTCCACATTAACACAAAAAAAAATCAAAAGTTTCTCTCAACTCTCATAACATGAAGAGCAACAAACATATCACGTTCATGCTCACGAAGAAGACGAAAAGAATATCACATTTTTCAAGAACCGGTAGCGAGCATAGATTGAAGCCATAATGACATAACAACAAAAGAAAACCTATATAAGCATAAGCAGCCTTAGAATCTAAGAAGGCACAAAAGGATATGTACAATCTAAATTTTGCAACAATTTTGATCCTCCTTTGAATCACCATCAGACTTCGCCAGCGGAATCCTGATCCATAACTTCATAGGAGAATGACATTAAACAAAACAAAAGAAGGAAGGGATAAAATATTATAGCTTCGTTGAAGATTCTCTTGTACAAAAAAAGACTAATCTTGAATAAAGCTTGACATAAAGCAAGCAAGTCAGCTTTTGTAAGATCTGGTTCACACATTTGGCATACTTGGCACACGGGGTTCCTTCAGGAGTCGGGAGAAGGTATGGCTACAAGCAAATAACAAACTTTGCAAGACGCAATTAATCCAAGAATCAAAATTCAAAAACTGGAAAAGGAATCTCAGCATAGAGAATAAAGAGGGGAGAATGCATAACTTAAATTTATAGTTTCCTAAGAACATGTAAGGAGAGATGTATAGCGCATGCTATTCTAGTTTCTGAATCCATTCCAAACACCTCATCTTCAGAATTCAAATCAATCAACGAACTATTTTGCATTGAGAATGAAACATTAAGATTAATCAAACCCATCATACTCATTTATCAGAGCAGTAAAAAAAGTAAAAATCATACTCATTTTCTCTGTCGTTATATGTTCTTTAGACTGGCTATTACCGGTAGTAATCTGCATCGGTGAAACTCTTTTGACGATCAAGATACATCTGATTCTCGATGTCTGCTTCCCTCCGTAATCTGTCTTTCTCAGTCAGCTTCTGTTGCATCAGAATCTTGCTAACATTGGTGTTATTCTCGGCTTCACTAATGGCCATTAGTTTCTTTGTATCCGCCTCATTCTCAGCAACCCTTTGTTTCTCAATAGCAATAAACACATTCAAAACCATTAAGTTCCAATTCTGTAAACAGTTTCCTACCTCTTTATCATGTATTACAGAACGTACCTTAGAGCGTTCCTCTTCCATACGTCTTACCCTCGTTGGGATCTTCGGCTTTGTCACACACACTCTAATGATCTCAATACCTGGAGCATAACGTGTGAAATCAGCCTGAAGAGCCTCTTTCATTTTCCCATCAATCTGAAACACATACGATTGATTGAGTTACTGATCAAAGATGTCAATATATATATATATATATATATATATACTCAAGTACCTGGTCAAAGTTGTCAATGTCGACTTGCTGAAGGGAATGAGAGCTGCAAAACTGGTTGATCTCATGATGAATCTTGTCATATATCCAAGTGTTGTCATAGTCAACACCATAGTTGAGTAAAGTGTCATACATACATGATCCTTACGAAGACGATTAACAACCTAAAATCATTTTTAGTCTGGTTAATACATGTACTTAATGGAAAACAAAAATAATAATATTAGGGTCTTACTTCTATCTTCTAAAGGTAACCATGACACCTCCTTTGGTACATCATGGTATATCCTTCACCTAAAGGCAAAGGGAGAGTAATTAGTTATAAAGAAAAAGATAGAATCTAAATAATGGTATATATAGAAGACTTACTTGATCTGTGTGGAGAGTGACTTGAACAGGCTCGTAGTGGGTTATAACAGGCAGCTTGAGATGAAAACCTGGTTCTGTAATGATGTTCGAAGAGCACCACCTCTCCAATACGCTCCGACGTGACCTTCAGGAACTTGGTGCACCAACGATGAAGGGAACATGACCTAATAATCCATTACACAAAGTAAAAATGATATTTGTTGGATAAAAAATATGTTACGCATCCGTTTAGTTCTATGTGAATAAATCAAATAACAAACATTAGCACGATGCAATAAATCCAAGAATCACAAAATCAAAATTAATCAAACACTGAGCTTTTGTAGACTTTTTATGTTTATTAAGATACTTATGGTTGACTCACCAAATTAAGACACCGTTAACTCAGTTAACAGAAAATTTAAACGTCATTAAGTGGACGTTAATTCTTGGCGTTAACTAATACGATGTCGTATCATCTCTTTGTCTGATTAAAACAAATGAATGAAACGACGTCGTGTTATGTACTTTTGTTGTTAAAAAATTGTGTGTCCCACGCGAATCGAACTCGTGCCAATATATGGTAATGGTAGAGGAGTTGCCACTGAGCTAGTGGGCTTTTCAATATATTAACGAACAGATTTCCTTTTAACATAAGACAACCGCGGTTTATGAATAAAAAAAACGACGTCGTTTTCGGTTCAGATGATTATAAACGAAACAAACCCTAAATCCCCAAAATCCTAAATCGACGAAGAACGAAGAACCCTAAGAAGCTAAGCTCGGTTCTCTTCAATTTCCGCCTAAGAAGCTCGAGTCGAACCTCTCCTTCTTCGAGTATGAGTTCGGGTTGTAAGGATTCGTCTGTGAATACGATGGGGATTCGTGGTATTCCGGAGAAATGCGAGTGTGGTCGAAGCAAAACAAAATGGATAAAACAAAACAATATAAGAAAACATGTATGTTAATATCCCGAGAAGTCCACTAGCTCAGTGGCAAAAATCACCTTAGAATCCTGAGTACACACGAGTTCGACACTAGGGTGCAACATTTTTAATTAAACAAACGAATAAAACGACGTCGTCTTGCCATTTTGACTTCAACAAAACAAAATGGATAAAACGACGTCGGATTACTTAATGGCAATATTTAACGTCGTCTTAACTGCGGGTTAACGGTATCTTAATTTGGCGAGTCAACATTAAGTATCTTAATAAACCCTAAAGTCAATAAAAGTACAGGTTTCTTTTGGTCAGGGTCGTGTCCAGGTTTATTTTGGCAATTTATGCAAAGTTCCTGTTTTTTTGGTCGAAATCCCTTTTTTAAATAGACTTTGTTAAACTGTTGTGTTTGATGATAATCATAGGATGAGATTAATGCTGCTATAAAAAGTAAAAAGGATTTGTCTGTGAGAATTTTCATAATAATGGGGAAAGCTTGTGGAGTCAGATTGTTGAAGACATGTAACATTGTTTATGATTTGCTTACATTGTATGATAAATGAATAACTTATCTGTTGACTTGCAGATACTTTCCCAATTTTAACAAGAAAACTTACCAAAAAATTCAATAGGAATTTACATACGCAGAGATTTGTTCCAGCAAAAAGATATTATTCAACACCAGTGAGAATGCGTTCAATACTTTAAGGTTTGTGTATAGTGTCTTATGATTTAGTGATATATCATAATATTTTCTTCCTATGGACAGAAGAGAATCTGAGATGCTTCATCATATATTTTTTCTTTCTAAGACAAATGAGAAACTTGGTTATGATGTCTTTTGTAAGCCTCAGCTTATTCTGTTATTCATGCTGTAAACCGCTTTGTCATCCAAGTTATGTCTTTGGTATTCGACACTATAGTTGTTGTGTCTTATTCTGTTATTCATGCTGTAAACCGCTATTCTCTTCAATTTGGAAACAAACCTACAAATATTGAATCTTAAGCAAATCTTAATCCCCAATATATTAATCATGGAGCATTACAACATGTTTTCGTAGCCACGTGTCATCACCAGAACGATTTTTAGAATTTTTAGAAAAATAAGTTGGTCCATATAAATATATACTATACTTTTTATTAAACTAACTATTAAAATAATTAGTAGTGTTCTTTGAATAAAAGCTACAGAATTACCTAATATGATTAACATATATATGCTATTAATGATTATGAATAATACATATTTTTGTGTCCTCTCTTTTTTTTTCTTTAATTTTACATTATTAAAAATAAAATTAATAATAAAATTAAATATATAATAACATTTTTAATTTTTTTCTTATATGTTATATTTTGATTTTTTTTTAAACCATAAATTACTAAAAATAGTAAAATCCCACATTGAAAATTTTATGATCAATGGTTTAACTTTGTTCTTTTTTTCAATCAAGATACAAATTATCATAAATCGTACGAATATGAAGTTAAAAATTATGATTTTAAGGTTTCTAATTGTTATACTATACTATGTATTAATTGAGAAGTCACTTAAGTGATTTTTCTTATGTGTCAATCATATGTGAAGTTTAAGAAAATTGTTATAATTTGATTGGTCAATGATTTTTAATTTTCACTTATTTTAATTAAAACTAAAAGAGGCAGGACCAATTAATATCACTTAAATGATTTTGCTTATGTATCAATCATATGTTAAGAAAATTATTATAATTTGATTGGTAGATGTTTTTTAATTTTCAATTATTTTAATTAAAACTAAAAGAGGTAGGGCCAATTAATGTTAGTTGCCAAACAATCCATATAATCTTATGAATAATCATTTATAATATTTAACTGTTGCAATTATAAAAAAATTATATAATATTTTTTTCATTTATATGAATTTACTAATAGTCTATTTATAAATTATATAAAGTATATTTTTAAAATAGTTAATAAAACTAATTTACTAACTTTATTTTTCTATTATATACAGTGGTAAAAGTAGATTTATTTTCTTATATAAGTCATAATATACATAGATAAAACATAAACTATATAATTGAGGAATCACCTAAGTGATTTTGCTTATGTGTCATATTTGAATTAAAAAAATGTTATAATTTGATTGGTCGATGATTTTTAATTTTCAATTATTTTAATCAAATTTAAAAGAGGCAATCCTAGAACTAATTAATTTTAGTTGCCTAAAATTTCATATAATCTTATACATAATCATTAATAATATTTAACTGTAGCAATTATGGAAAAATTTATATAATACCTCTTCTTTTATATGGATTTACTAATAGTCTATTTATAAATTATATAAAGTATATTTTAAATAGTAGTTTTTTTTACAATGAATAACTAAACTCTGATATATGCCCTACCGATTCAGATAGTCTAGCCGGTGGCATGGAATCAACGTAGAACATAGAACCGGTTTAAATAGTAGTTAATAAACTAATTCACTAATTTTTTTTTATTATAAACAGTGGTGAAATTAGCTTTATTTTCTTATATAATTCATAATATACATAGATAAAACATATAATTTTGATACAAAGACATTGTAATAACTATAAATGATCATAAAATGAGTTTATAGATTATTTACATGAGTTTAAAATCTTCATACTATATAAAATTATTATAAAATTAATGATAGCTAATTTTTAAAAATTAGAAAAAGTCTAATAATGTTTGATTAGTTCTTTTTATATTTATATACTGCATTAAAAATGAATATAAAACAATTTATAGCAATCAATATAATGATTTCATATTCATATAAAAATATAATTGTATCTATAATAATTATTAATCATAATATATGCTTTATAAATAGTTAGACCTTGAAGATTGGACGGAGTATATTTAACAAAACATGTGCGAACTTTGATTTAAAAATGTTTTGCATTTAAATCAAATAATATAGTGAATAAGATAATGTTATGATTGAAAATAATTGTAAGATGATTTTTTGCTTCATTGATTGTATGTTTTTTTTTGTCATCTCATTGATTGTATGTTTTGTATTACTATTTAGAGATCAGTAAATATTTGGTAAAAATATTTAAACTATTAGCAAAATATTAGCAAAAATTTAATAAAAAGAACGAAATGATAAAGAGAAAAATAAGAAGAAGCCGAAAAAGATGCATAATATGTGTTGGAAAAGTTAATGTGATAATTATATACATAACATAATTCCACAAGTATTTTTATTACTAAATATTCATCAATTATTTTTACAACAAATTTAGGAAAATTTTACGACTGATTGTCAAACTATTTAAAGTTAAAAATTAATTTTTAAATGTTCTAATTATTATTCAAAATTTATGATATTATAAATATAATATATGTTTTCAAACAATATTTATATCCGCGAATTTGCGGACAACCACCTAGTAAACATTATACCTCAAAGCATTATCATTTTTGTTATTATATTGTGAAAAGAATTACTTTTGTCTTGATTTAGACATAAACTTTTATTTTATTTTTTGCCCTAATTAATATACTCTACTCCACACCCTTCAGATTTGTTTGTGAGTAGTTGAAAGCCTTTAAACATTTTTGAGATCTCTATAGCTTTTCTATCTTTATGTTGCCAAATGATGCAATGTCAATGAACATCTGAAAAATAGAATGTTTATTAGTTGAACAAATTGAGTCAAACCACAAAGTTCAAAAGATTAAATACCTTAGAGTAAAAAACAAATTAATGAGTCGATATCTTCACAACATGTTTTGCCTTGCTGTTATCACAAAAACTCTACATATTCATAAAAGAAAAAATTACACTGTAAGGCAGTTTCAAGTTTTTAATAACACTTTAGAGCAGTTTATGCTACTCAGACACTTTATCTTCTTCCAATACACCTTTTACTTCTTCTAGTTAATAAAACAAGAGTTATTAACACTCTATGGCAGTTTTCATGTTTTTATTACACAATAAGGCAGTTTCAACTACTAAGGTAGTTTATCTCAACTACAACCAAACTAGAATTTGATTCTTTAACTAGTGGGACCTAACATTTTCTCTTTCATTTATCTTCTTTTTCTTCTTCTTCTATCTTTGCTTTTTTTCCTTTCAAACAAAAATAAATCTATAATTTTATTATTTCTAACTCTTCCCAAACAAGAAGAAGAAAACACGAAGATCTCATAATATTTCAGATCATTACACTTTCAAAGATCCAAATTTACACCATTTTCTCTTTTGTTTTCTG